AGCAAACCCAACTACTCTCGCAAATGACCAAACTCAAATATTGTCGTTGTACATTTTTCGGTAAAAGCGTCAACAACGGTCAAACTGCAAAAACCAAAATAACAGAAATGTCAATTGTGATTTGTACAGTATCAGTTGACCTATTTACAGTCAAGGTCGACCTATTTAGGAATACGTGGTCGACCTTATTGGTTAAACGGTCGACCACATGTACTACTTTTATGAAAAACGTCTCTTACTTGTCCCAATTCGGCTCTCCAGCCTTCTCTTTAGTAACAACATTAAACAAGTCTTCAACTGGATTTTGCATATATTTTTGTGAATCCTTCTAGGCCCTCCACTTTCATGACCTACAAATCATAGTTAAAATTAAAGTTACATATGAAAACAAACACACATTAAAGATGAATATGTAGCGTAAACTTGCTCCGTGCTTTTTGAAAGGAATCTTAGATTCATCTTCGTCGCTATCAACACTAAATAATCATTTTCTTACTAAATGATCCTTCTGTGGAGTGGTGTAGGAGTCACTTTCATATCGAGATTTCTTGTACTTGGGAGAGGAACCCTTGCTACCAAACATTGTTTCACTTTGTCAATCATATAAACAAAACAATTTAGCACTAATGATCGTAATACTAATATCTTCACTCACATATGAATATACTTGTCTACCTTTAACTTGTGCTCTTTCAATAAATCGTCTATGCTCTGGTAGCAATTTTTAGAATCATCATGGTCTTCCTCCTCTTCATCAATGTCAAATTTCTTTCTTGTACCATCTCTTCCTCCATTCTCCATTCGTTCTGCACGTATTTCTTTGATAGCACCTTCTAGCCTCTCAAAACCATCATGCATCATCCCAGTCATATCTGTCAATCGAACTGACAATTGCTCCACTATCACGAATGGACTGTTGATAGTCATTGAATTCTTTTTTACACACCACCAGTTGCTCTTGTGTGTCTTTCAACACTTTCATGATTTCAGCAAATCCTGTTGTTGTTTCTCATCATGCGCCATCGTCTAAACAATTTAAAGAAAACTTCAAATCATAATTCAACTTCAATTTTGTACGATTGAACAAAAACTGAGATGTGGTCGACCTAACCTATTATTAGGTCGACCTTAAAGACAATATGTCACTACCAGAACTAATTAGGTCAACCTTTGCTCTTCCTAGGTCGACCTATCCAGCAAGAAAATACCAATTTACCAACAAAAGCAAGTGTAATATTACCACGAACAACGGATAGGTCAGCCAGACACATTGATCGGCCGACCTTTTAAGCACAACATAGTCTTACAAACAAAGCCAAAGTCGACATTTAGTATGAACAACCAAAACAAACAGAAACGGTCGACTTTGAAAAATATTAGGTCGACCTATTGGGTTTGATCTTCCTTACCTTGCAAGTACAAAAAGCCGAGTGTTGTGCCGTAAATTCAATTTCTAGCAATTGTCAAAAGGAGGTCGACCTGATTGAGATAAGGGTCGACCGAATGGCATTCTGCACGCAACAAAACATCAAATTAAACGGTGCAAATTACGCACCAGACAAGATGAAGGCAACAGCTACATTAGGTCGACCACACCTTCGACGTGGTCGACCTCTTGAAATACGTACAACAGCAACCGCAAAGGATCTTCTTCACAAAAGCTCTAACCGTAAAAAAAAATAAAAAAAACTTAATTCAGAGTTTCAGTGGGGTGAATGTGACATATATTCGTATTTATATATATATAGGACGAGAATGGGTCGAATTAAGTGCTAGATAAATTAGGGTTACCTTTCTGGTGTTGAAATCCTTATCCAATACGGATATGGTATGCACACGGTCGACCTTTTATACTATTTTCCTAAATAATCCTGAATTTTGATGTTGATCTGTTAACGAAACAGAGGTCGACCTTCTCACTTATGAGGTCGGCCTATTAAGTGCAAAATGGTCGGCCTTTGAGGTATTTGGGTCGATCTTTATTTCTTTTCGTTTCTCAAAGAGGTCGACCATTTAATGTAAAAGGTCAACCGCGTCGTTGAGCCTCACAAAACTGAAACAACAGATTAGGTCGACCTAATCCTATATGAGTTCGATCGAAAAGTGCAAGTTACGGTGACATGCATGTCACTGTAGCAAAGTCCAAACTGTTTGGTTTTTCTAAAGTCGAACATTTGGTACACAATGTGGGATTTTTTGCACCATTAATGAAAAATACGGAATAGTACAAGCAGAAGTAATGAAAAATAGTGTCAATTGGTTTTAGAGGTTAATTAAACCTTTAAAATGCGGTTTTCCCGACGATTTTAATAATAGCGAGCAGCCCGGAAAAATTTTAAACGTCAAACGATGTTGTTTTGAGCAAAAAGTTAGCCTAAAAAAAAGTTAGACATAGCGCTTCTCTTCAAGACGACCCTAATCGACAGTTACTCCATCCTTTTCTCTCCTTGTGTAAACACACATAATTTGACATCCAACATAGTTAATAATTAATACTTCAAATTTGAAAATATAATTTATGTATTATATGTTTTTTTATACATACCTCATCTAAAGTGATCATTAAAACTTAATCTTTCTCCATTCATCAGTATAGTTTAGGTCATTACGTAGTTCTTACATTTAAGAAGATCAATTTGTTTCACCAAAAACAAAATTGACCTGAGTTTTATTTTGCCCAACAAAATTAACGTACATATATAGTCTTTCATCATTGACTTTTATGAATTGCCATGGCCATGGGTACGTCGGTAGAGTTAGGCCATCACTGCAGCGCACTGCACTGCGCAGACATCAACATGATGTTGATTGTTGAATGACTTGGAACTCGTGTTCCTCTTTTACTGATCCATCCATGTCTCTTCCTTTTCTTTTGTCTCCTCTATCTTTCTCTCTGCCCCCTAAACAAACTACTTATTAATTAGTTGGAAACATCCTAAGCAAAAGCTTCTCTATTGCAAAGAGTTACAGCATTTCATAGCTAGTCGGGGTCAATTAATATTGCATGTTGAGTAGGGTTGGCTATTTTTTCGACATATTTGGTTTTACCCGAAATCGGACATTGTAACTTGGACTGTGACCGGACCGGAACCGAATAGCAAACAATCCAATCCAATTTTTCGGCTTAGATTTTAGGTAAAAAAATCTTTTCGTACCGGATTGAAAACCGGATAAAGAGTGGATAAGAGATCCCAACACCCAAAACTTAACCAACTGCTCACCCTTTGAGTCCTTAGGCCACTCAAATCCCCACAAGCTCAATCTAAAATCAAGACCATATTGGGACAGACCGGGTCAAACCGGACTGTATCTAATCCAATTTTTTGTCCTTATATTCCCGAAAAGACCAGACTGGGACTGGATCAATTCGGGCTAATTTAACCGGACCGGACCGTATAGCCACCCCTAACCGTCACCTCGATTAACTCCCCGTCAATCGAAACCCGTGTATCCCAACACGTAACCAAAGCAATCTAACCAATGCTTGAAGCAAGCAACTCCCTATATGCTTGAACCCCTTTCCTACACCGCTCTCTAGTATTTTGATCTCTCGGAAAGATGTCCAATCTATCTACACATAAACCCTTTTATACTCTTACAGAATATGACCGTTGCATATTGAGCATTCTTTCCATGTTGTGTTGATTCCAAATCTTCCCCATAAATGGTAAGCATCTTCATGTTTGAATCCAACAACTACAGGAAGTTCTTTCTTTTAGTTTACTCTTGCCATTTGTTTGCTTTCCTTAATCACTAAAAAGATGCACCCGGAGAGCCTTGCATAAAAGGTAAGTTTCTCCCAACACTCTTCATTTCCTATGTTTCCTCTCCGCTTTGCATTCTCTCCAACTTCTTCAAACCCGACACAAAACTTGCTATGAGAGCAGCCACAATCAATGAATTGGCTGATAGGGAATGGCTGAGCAATAGCGAAAAAGCAGCAACGATGGTCGGTGATATGGAGCGGTAACACGATCGATGAGCCAAGGTTAGGGTGCTAACACTCAATTTGTTAGCATATTCCGATCATTTCGGTTTGATGACTTTTTTTATTTTTATGGGGTTGACTATAATGAATGTGGGTTCGGTTTGGAATTCGGATACCGAACCGAAACCGAATTAATGACTATACCGAATTTTCGAATTTACGACCGAAAAACCGAAATACTATAATTGCAAGCTCTAAATGGTGGGTTTTTATGTTTGTAGTTGTTTTTAGACTTAAATATTTGAAATGTTTTATGACTTATGTGTTGAAAATTTGATTTTATCATTGATGATGCATATAATTGATATTTATTGTTTATATTAGGGGTGAAAAATAATTTAAAAGTGAGAAAATACAAGTAGCTTCACAAATTCGGTTTTGTGTGAAAAACCGAACCGAATTATAATTCGGTTTAAACCGACCGAACCGAATTATAATTCGGTTTGAGGTTTAGGAGAATTCAGGGACCCGGTATTCATAATTTCGATTCGGTTGAAACCGAACCGACCGAATGCCCATGCCTAACCACAAGTCCCATGAAATAGATCAAAGCCCTCATAAAATGGATCACAAGTTTCTCAAAACAAACTTAAAACATACCACAAGTTTCTTGAAGCACGTTAGAAACCTCATAAAGATAATCACAATTTTCTTAGACCAAACCGAAAACCTCACAAAGCATACCACAAGTTCCTTGAAGCACACTAGAAATCTCAAAACGGTAACCACAAATTTCTTAAAGGATATAAATACTTCATTAACCAGACCACAAATCACACCGAAAACGTAATAAAACTTAACACAAATTTCTTAAAACATACTAAAACTATCATAAAACTTATCACAAATTTCTGAAAACAAACGTCTAATTTACCCCTTTCACGAGCACAACCCTAACTACAAAGAGGAATAGTACACTACAGGAAAATTCACTTTCAATCATGGGATTTCCCGTGACCAAACATTCAATTCCCGTGACAAGCATGCCCGTGGTTGAAGGTCAACGGTCACGGGCAATCCCGTGATCATAACTATATAATAACGGGGAGATTTCCACTCTCGACTCGTGCTTCACCCTTCTGTCATCTTCCTCTGCAGTAGATGCCTGTCCTCTCCAGTCTCCACTGTCGACTCCATTGATTGTGAAACCAGCTGCTCCTCTCTTGGTAAGTAACTTATCCTACAACACATGAACACAACATGTCATTTTTACTCTCTTTGTATTTTCCCAACACGTTATACCAGTTTGTATAAGTTCTATGACTTGCTTCATCACATTACATGTGGGAGGGGGACACTGTAAGAATCAATGAATAAAAAGAAGACAAATATATGGCTTTTAACTTGTCTGCTTCATTATGAACTTTCAAAGTTGTCTGGGATTTTCCTGGTCTTCCAGCATCACTTTCCAACAACAACAAAAATAGAAGCTAGCGAAAACCAGAAAAGTAGCAGCAGAAAAAGTTCAGCAACAATCATAGTACCTTCAGTTCCAAAGTAGAAGCAGGAAAATTTTCAGCAGTAGAAAAAAATAGAAGCTAGTGAAAACCATTCTTGCAGCATGACTTGCCAAACTACTCCTAGTAAATGTTTTGCAGTAGCTAATCAAACATTACAATTAACATGAAAACGCTTTGGAAAGTTCAGAACAATCATAAATGTCAGTCAGATCAAGAGGCAATAAACGCAAGAGTTTGTATGTATTTTCACCCAATCGGTTCAAGCTAACAAACGCACTTACGTAGTAACCTTACGCTTGCTGCTGGCACTACCTTGGATACGCCAACCCAGCGAGTAAGGGAGTGAGCTAACTCCAAAAACCCGTCCTCAGTTCGGATTGCACGCTGCAAATCGTCTACATGAAGCCGCTTAGATACATTAAATCTATGCTCTCAAGCTGAGAGTAATGGGTACATTACATACTACCAACACTCCCGTAAACTAAGGAGCCTAGCTACGATGTAACTAAATTGAATAGGCAGAATCATTTAGTACCTCTTTCTTCCATCTATGTTCTTCATTTAAAGAAAAATTATATTGCAGTAATCAAGGAGTGGAATCATTAAACCTCAATTCTAGTTCACCTTTTCTATTTACTTTTCTCGGGTGATTATCAAATTTGGTTATCACTTCTCAAAACATATGCACTAAACTTGTATTTGTTGTGACTAAGAGCCGGTCTGCACACAACCTGTAAAGTGACTCACAAACTCAACAAGATTTTGGAATGTAAAGTAACGAGGATCAATTACTCAAACACAAGACTGCAATTAGCAATAACTCTTTTCTAGCACGAAAAAATGAAAAAATGACCCACCTTTAGCAATTTGAAAAAAAAGAGGATGATGAAAGCAAGAACCAAAAGCCTAAGATTCCATCTATGATTTTCTAGCTCATGATTCCTCACTCATATTATTAAGCTTGACACCAAGAATGACAGCAATATATAAGGCAGCAAAGGAACTAAAATGCATCTATCATTGTCTAATTGGTGATTTTGCTGTAAATAATTTGATTGTGAAATTAGGGAATCTGAATGCAGCATAGCTCTGCAATTGAATTAGAGATGGGGGCGAAGCCTACCACAACTGCAATTGATGTTTTAGGCAACGCCATACACCTGCATCTACGATGGGAGGCCAGGGTGGGGGCAGATCGGTGGTTCAGTTAGCTGAACCTGCATCCATGATAACTAACACACAAAAATCCAATAAACCCACAAACCAAGACTAAAACCTAAAATCACAGAGAACAATTGGGGATATTTCAAATAAACAATGGAGAGAGGATGCCGAAGGCGCACGCAAAGACGATATTGGACAAACCTGGGAGGAGCGGCTAAGATGATTTGAAGATGAGGGTCGGGACTCTGGAACAGGGGGAGTTCTAGAGGATGATATCGGATTTGGCTTGATCTATAAAAGGGGATTTGGTGCTCAGTGGAGCCAAGGATTGCATGAATGATCTAAGTAAGACATGGGGCTTGAGCGGCAGAGGATCTGGATTCGAAACAGTGGTTGGTGGCACGGAAGTGGATTCGCAACTGTGGTGGGTGGCAGAGGAGTTGTGGAGGGTTTTTTGGAGCGAAGAGTCTTCCTTACTCTTTCCTTTTCTTTCCCTTTCGTAAAATCCTTATGTTGTACTTCCGATTCACTCGTGCCACTCTAGTCTCTACCATGTCTTAGCAGAGGAATGGAGTTTCTTGTTCTCTTTCTTGGTACAGAGAGAGAAAGGAAAGAACGAAGAAGGAAGAAGGGAAAGTTGGGTAGAGTTAAAAAGGAAAAAATTCAAAAAAGCCAAACAAATAATGGACAGGGCGGGACACTTGAAATATTTAGGGAGCCAATTTTTGAGCGAGTCAAATGGAGGTGGCAAATAATTGGTTTTATTCCCGCCCATCAAGTTTTGTTTCCGCCCGACAATAGTCACGGGAAGTTATCCTGATTGTTGTTTGACATTCAACAGTCACGGGAATATCACCCCGTTATATATAGGTCATCTTTTGTCATGGGCGGATACCCGTGACAAAATATCCCCGTGATGAAAGATGCATTTTCTTGTAGTGGTAATTCCAAGGTTATGCTAAGAAGTAAAAGCTTAATTGACTCAACTTGACCATACTTTGCAAAGTAGGGGTGGCTATTTGGTCCGTTCTTTTTTGTTTTCCCAAAACTGGATTGGACTGAGACCGGACCGAGACCGGATAGCAAACAATCCAATCCAATCTTCTATCCTAGATTTCAAGTAAAAAATTGTTTGAGACCGCACCAAAAACCGGATAAAGACCGGATAAGAGAGCCCAACACCCAAAATTTGACCTCCTCACCCTTTCATACCTCAGACCACTTAGATCCCCACAAGCTCAATCTAAATCAAGATCAAATTGGGACCGGACCGGTTCAAGACCGGATTGTATCCAATCCAATCTTTGGACCTTATATTCTCGAAAAGACCAGACCGGGACCGGATCAATTCGAGCCAATTTAACCAAACCGGACCGTATAGCCACCCCTAATTTTAAGGGTTTCAAACGTGATCATTTCATAGTTTTGAGTCATGCAATTGAACATATGATGATTCTTTTGCTTAAATAATGACGATTGTTGGTGTTAAAATTTAATTTTAAATAGTGGTGATTGTTAACATTCTACATTATCGCTAGGTAAACCCTTTGGAATACCATGTGAAGATATTTCATATACTTATTTTCAAAATAACACTATAATGTTGTATTGCGTATATATCTTAATCATGATACTATGAGAATGTTAAACTAACAAAACCAATATTTGTGGAACGAATTTATCGCACAAAGTGTCATTTTCCTAGACACTATATATACTACTAGAATGGAAGGTCACGCTTCACACAGGAACATTTCATTGCATGTAATAATAGTGTTTTTTAGATCGGAACATGTTTTAGACTTGTAAATTATTCCAGTGAAAAATGATACCATTCAACAAATGATAATGTAACACAAAAAATCATGTTAGTAATAAGCATTTGAAACAATAATTGTTTATAATTAAGGTGATCCACACAGTTTTGATAATTCTGGTGGTACTCCTTTGTATGTTAGGAATCCAAACTCATGTTCATCTATTTCACAGACCAAGGACAGTCAATGATCATTGTGCAAACTATTTAGGAAATGAAACAATAAAAATTTGACTATTATATTCAACCGAATACATCTCAATTGCTAATTAGTCTACCTTCTTCACTAAGACTTACTGTAACATCCAGGACATTTTCCGACGAAGATATTGTCCGCTTTGGGCCTCGATCCTCACAGTTTTCAACTTGGGGTGCAATTCAAGTTGACTCACCATAAGTTCACCCATCCTTGTTGTACTCCACACTGAGCACGTTTAACTTCGGAGTTCTCACAATAACCTTTCTATTTCACCTCAAAACGCGTTTTGTCAGTTAATGTCGGTTACTTACTTATGAAACATGGATTTCTCTCGTGTTTTGTCAATGTGGGATTTGCCTAAGGTGTTACATACACCCGCCTTCTCAATTTACTCGTTGAGGTTTGTCCCACCATCGTTCAAGAGAGACGAGAAGAGGCTCTGATACTACTTTTAACATCATGAACCTTTTCCCGACAAATATATTGTCCGGTTTGGGCATCGACCCTCATGGTTTTTTACTTTGGGTGCAATTCAGGATGACTTCACATAAGGTCATTCATCCTTGTTGTACTCCACACTGAGCAAATTTTAACTTCAGAGTTCTCACAAGAACTCCTCCATTACACCCCAAAACGCATCTTGTCAGTTAAGGCCGGTTTCTTACCTATGAACAATGGATCTCTCCCGTGCTTTATTGATGTGGGATTTGCATAAAGTGTGACACTTACATTTAAAAAAAATTATTGTGGTTCCACGCAACAGTTTCTTCTTAGTCAGAGTAGGGGTACGGACAAATGCTTGTGTATCCCAAAGGAAATATTAATTTAATCCCAAAAGAGGATTGATGGGTTGTAGTTGGTTGTTAATGGTTAGCATAAAATAATTACAACATGGCAACATTCATGAAATTAAAAGGAAATAAAGTAAGCAAGCAAAGGAAAAAAATCAACAAAGCAGGTAAAACTCGCTTCCGACTCAAAACTCGTCAAAATCAAGTTAAACTCTTTTTGATAAAGTCAATTTTTTGTTTTTCGGGTGTGCAAATAAATAAGAAAACTAAACTAAAAAAATGAAGAAGCAAGTATTTCCCAAATAATCATTCAAACTTCCACTAAATAATCAATGTGATTAAAATTCAGTCATGACCTAAACACGTCAACACTAGGTTCAGCCCGCTTTGACCGGGTCGATTGTTTTGTTTTTTTTGGTGTGGGAAGAAATAACAAAACTGAAATGAAAAAACAAAGAAGCAAGCCTTTCCTAAACAATCCTTCAAACTTTCACTAAAGCACAAGAATACCACTCATGTAAAACTCGTCCTCGATCCAAAATTTGCCAACACCTAATCGAATTAGATCGAATACCATTTGGGTTCAATTGTTATTAAAATAATTAGTTAGAAAATCCAAAATTTGTTAACACCGAGTTCAACTCTCTTTAACCGAGTTGAATTACATTAAGAAAAAACATTGATCCAAGCGTGTACAACTCGTTGTGTACCTAAAATTCATCAATACCTGGTTCAACCCGCTTAATAATAAAAAAAAAACAAAATAAAGTAAGTTTAAAATGCTAGCAAAGGCAAGTAGGGTGAGTTTTTAATAGAGTCACACTGGCCTAATCCGCCAATTACAAAAGCATGTATAACTGATAGACCGATAATTATACATGTTTTCACCCCTATTCTGAAGCCGTTTGTGATGAGGAATCTCGTGTTTTAAGTCGATTTCACGCTAGGGTGTGTGTTTATGTCATATTTCAGGTCCCGGCGTTGAAATCGAGGCGGAGAAACGAGTTCTGGGTCGAAAGGAGCGAAGTTGGGACAAAGTGAGCCGCAGGAGGAAAATACCTGGTCAGGTGGCCAAATACCCGACCGGGTATTCACTGTTTTGGGCGCCCGAGAAACAGAGAGGGGCCCGGGCAGATGACTTAAATCCCCGGTCGGGGATTATGGAAAGTGACCCGGGATTTTCCCTTTACCAAAGCGGCGCGTTTTGCATATACCCGGTCGAAACCCCAAATACCCGACCGGGTATTTTGACCGGGTATCGCGACCAAGCAACCAATTTAAGGAGGAAGAAGGCCAACATTGAGGGGTTCCGAGTTTTTGAGAGAGAAAGCGATCCCTAGAGAGAGAAAGCGACGAACCAGAGTTCCCAAGTGCCATAGCTTGATCTTCATCACCATTGGAGCCCGGCTTGAGCTTGGAGAAGTGCCGATTAAACGTCCAGGAGCAGAAATCCATCTTCACAGTATGATTTCCGCGTCTGAATCTGCTTTTGCTTCTTTCTCTATGGAGTAGTTCCCCCATTCATCTGGGTATGGGGAACCCTAGATTTGTATGTTAGGTCTGATTGTATGACCCCAAGTACAGAGTTTGTGAATTGATTATATTCGATTGAGGTTTGAATGATTGAATGACTTGAATCCTGATCAAATTCCTGTTGTTTCTGCTTTAACCTAGAATGAGAATATCTGCCTAGGTTAATAGAGTATCCTTAATTGAAGATAGCGAATTGTTGACTTTAGTCGAGGAGCCAATTCGCTATTCTGTAGCGAGTTCCATTCGGTAGTGGAGGTTTTGTTCGTTAGGGCCTCAATCTGTTTACTCCGGTGGAGGTTAGTCGCCCGCTAGAGACTCAGATTGAGAGGGTCTGGAGACCTTTAGTCGAGACTTCAGGTTAATTAAGAACCTTCCGCAGTATAACTTTCATGAAAACTGAACTTGGTAAATTGCAATCCGACTTAACTGCAGTCTAGGGGGAACCATATCCGGGTGACCTCTCTTGACTTGAACAACCGTTTACTTGCTTTGTGTTTTTGTTTACTTGAATTTGCACTAACAGTTCACTGCTAGATAACAAGAATTCACCGAGTAGTCATCACATCTAGGTTAATAGAGTATCCTTAATTGAAGGTAGCGAATTGGTGACTTTAGTCGAGGAGCCAATTCGCTATTCTGTACCGAGTTCCATTCGGTAGTGGAGGTTTTGTTCGTTAGGGCCTCAATCTGTTTACTCTGGTGGAGGTTAGTCGCCCGCTAGAGACTCAGATTGAGAGGGTCTGGAGACCTTTAATCGAGACTTCAGGCTAATTAAGAACCTTCCGCAGTATAACTTTCATGAAAACTGAACTTGGTAAATTGCAATCCGACTTAACTGCAGTCTAGGGGGAACCATATCCGGGTGACCTCTCTTGACTTGAACAACCGTTTACTTGCTTTGTGTTTTTGTTTACTTGAATTTGCACTAAAAGTTCACTGCTAGATAACGAGAATTCACCGAGTAGTCATCACATCTAGGACCCGGGTTGACAATAAAACCCAAACCCGCTATACTACGCTTTAGGAAGTGGTTACACTTGGCCATTTTCTAGAGTGACAGTTGGAGTGAGTCAAGTTTTTGGCGCCGTTGCCGGGGACGGCTAGGTTGTTGAAGAAAAGTGATTTCTATTACTTTAGCA